AGACTGCTACCACCAACCTACACCTACTTCATGCAGCAGAAAGGTGACATCGTGGCATTATTTTTATCCCCTGTCATATGTAGTCTTTTCTAAGCAGCTAAAAACTCAGTGACTCGGGATCACACGAAGAGCAGCTGAATCTGTCAGCATTTGCCTGCAAAACCTAACGGAACCTCAGTACGTTCACTGGGCCTCCATGGAATTTACAACACACACAAAACCTACCAGAATTTAGGGAAAAGAGCAAATTGTATGAGGGCTTTTAGAAAGCATATGTCTGTGTCACTTTAAGTCAAATCAGTTTTCCCCTTCTACTTTATCCATACTCCAAGTTCATTAGACCAAAATTACATGCCCTATATGCTCATATTCTCATTCTCTCTCTCTCTCTCTCTCTCTCTCTCTCTCTCTCTCTCTCTCTCTCTGAGGTGGGAAACACTAATTTCTAGCAAGCTGGTGCCAAGGGCAGGAGGGGACTCCAAGCACCTACATGTCACATGCGCCCGCTCTACCTCATCCTCTGCCACGTGATCCTGGACAGTGCGCTGGGCCTCAGCTTCCTCAGGTGTACATAGGGTGCAATAGTCACATCTACCTTACAGAGTCGGTGTGATTACTTTACCCACTAATACTAGGCAAGCAGCTGAGAATAGTGCTGGCATCCAGTTAAGATTAACTGTCCTGGTTACCACCACCAGTTTTAGCAGGGCAACCACATGTGAGCCCGCTTAGGACATTTAAACCAGACAGTTCTCATTCTTAGGAACCTAGAAAAACAGGGTTTTATTCCTACTTCTGGTTTTGGTGCCAGGGATTGAACTTAGGGCCTCCTGGTAGCTTGTCATTTTTTATGCCAAGAGAAACCAATGAGAAGAGTGTGTCACAACCCAGCAGAGATTCTACCTACTGTCAATCTTGGTTTGTTTTTCAGAAAGGTGGGCAAATATTAGGTGATATCCCCAAACTTCACTGCTGAACAAGTGTTAAATAAAGTCACCCTCTCAAGGCACTGCACAGAGCACAGGGCCCATGGAGCACATCTGATAAAGCCAGGAGTTCTTCTTGGTGTTCTGATGGTAATCTCAATGCAAAGTACATTTCAGGGACTTTCAGGCCTGAGATCTGTCCCTCCCAATAAAGGCTAGAAATCTATAGCAATGAGTCAGGCCCTACAATCACCTGCTCTTCCCTCTGCCTCTGTGCTGACATTTCTGATTTTGGCTCCTTAAGAAAGTACTGCTCCACCTGAGGTTCTCTGTACATGAAAATGTTCCCCTGACAACACAGCGCTAAAAGCACCCAGCCCTCCACTTTACAAAGGAAGTTACAGGGCTCTGGTCTAATGGCTTGCCCTCCACTCCTGGAACAAGGAGACCCCAGAAAAGCCAATGTCGGGGAGAAGGAACAGCAGTGTGATTGTGGAGCCTGCCTCATCTCTGGGCTGCATCGGGAGGCCCAGGTCTCAGCCCTGACGTCCCTAACATCCACTCCAAAAGGACAGCATGAGTACAGTTCTTTCTACTAAATGCCCTACTATCCCCATAGATAAATGCATTCAAAACTTTTGCCAGAATGGGCTTTTAATCCCTGATTGTCCTCTATCAGAAAGCTGGTTGATAAATTGACATTCCTGTACTCACCATAATTTCTCTCTGTTCCTCTAGATTCTTCAGAAAATTTGAAAATTCACGTAAGGAGGCATCTGAAAGGAGAAAGGCGTTAGATTTGGCAGCTGGGGCAGGGGAAGGCCAAGCCGGCCTCGCGCAGACACACTACCTATGCAGCGCTCGTCATCTGTCTCGGCATCCCCGATGAACTCAAATTTGAAGTCTCTGAGCGAATGAGCAAACTTCCTCTGGGCTGCCGAAAGACCTGCAAAGAAGGATGGAATCATTAGTTGGGTTCTCACTGTTCAGCCAAGGTTTTAAAGAAATTTCAAAAAGGTAAAGGTGCTGGGCTCCCCCTCCACCCGGCTGCTGAGGTGGTGCCACCCAGTCCCATCAGCCTCAAACTGGCACGTCCTCCAGTGACCCCCGTCTTCAGTTCCACACTCTGGCACAGAGCAAGTGATGGAGACGCATTACACGCATGCACACACGCACACATACACACGCACGCACGCACGCACACACAGGCACATGCACATGATCTTCTTCCATAGACAGGATTATGTCACATCATTTCTCCAAAGCACTCTCCTCCTCCCTGCTCACACAGGTGAGAACTTGCCCAGTTCCAAAGTTCAGGCTGTGATTAAGAACACACACGCCTGATAGTACCTCTCGGGACTGCCTGAGATCTGGCTACCTCCCAGGGTTTCAAACACAAGGCCTTCTGAAACGCAAGCTCTCCAACCAGGTGCTCTGTACTGATGCCAAACAACCACGCCAGCCAGCAAAACCCAGAAGATTCAAGAACAACAAACAGCAGCAAGGAGGTATCCAATGAAATTGTAGAAAAATTCATTCTTTAAAAAAAAAACAACCTGCAGAGATCATCCTTTCTGTTTATTAGAGATTAAGGACAACAGTGGAAAATTCTAAAACAAATTAACCGCTAGAGGTATAGCTCAGTGGTACAGCATGCAAGTAAGGCTCTGGGTTCAATCTCCTCCATCACAAAAAATGAGAAGATGAAGAACCTTTGTACTCACTGAGGTTTAGTCACCATCCCAGTGTGACAGTCACTGAGCTGAGGTACAGCTCAGCAGCAGAACATCTGCCTAACAACCTTAAGGATCTGAATCCCACCTTAGCATCACAAA